CGTATCGTGATAATCCATGCAGCTCTGTTTGATGCTGATCCAGAAAGGTTCTTGCAACGATTTGTGACTATGGATGAAACCCGGGTTCACCACTTCCAGCCTGAGTCAACAACAATCCAAACAGTGGGAGGAGCATTTGACATCACCACCACCGAAGCAGACAAAGACTGTCCCATCTGCTGGAAAGGTTATGGCCTCCGTTTCCTGGGATACCGAAGTTGTCATCGTGACAAGTCTTTCTATGAGAGGCTCGTGTCGTAGAGCGCAAGCAGGGTAACAACAAGTACCATCTGTTACGGTCTTTCCACTGCACCAGGAGGCGGTTTCTTGGGTAGACTAAATACCTTGTGCCACGATTGTGACAAGACAAAGCTCAGTGGGGGCCCGGCTGTTTACAAGATATGTTTTTGTTTGTTTGTTGTTTAACGCCGCACTCGGCAATATTCCAGCTATATGACGGCGGTCTGTAAATAATCGAGTCTGGACAAGATGTGACTTAGCTGGTTGTGTGCAAACGTACTCAGGCGGCGAGGATCGTTGCTCCTCTGATCATCCTCGAGACACTAGGAATTGGAGTGAGTGAGTGAGTTGGGTTTAGACGACTGGGCCACCCGTGTCCCCACTAGGAACTGGAACCGCCAGATCACCAACAACAGCCGGTGCCACCTCTACCCTCAAGGCATCCGGCATCCCCAACAATTTGTCTTGGCATACAATCTCAGAATTTTGAGTCATAACAGTGTACATAGCTTGTTCAAGCAATTGTCGATGCCGTGGGATTTTAACATAGAATGCGTGCTCAATATTTTATTGATTTGTCACTCATTGCAAGAAAAATATGACGAAAAATAAATTTCAACATTGAAATATTGTCATCCGCGTAGCAGATAAACATTTCATGTTATGCAGCGTTCTGCACTGCGGCTTTCGGAATGCCACTTAACACGACTGAGCATCCAGTGTAACAAAAGGGGAGTGGCACCCTCACAATACACGTGTATTTTATCGTCCATTGATGATTAATCCTACATTCATATGGCAAACCAGCATGCAATGTCGTTAAATTGGTCATACATTAATACCACAGAGCTGCCTCGTCTTCGGTCTTAACTTTAACAGTGTTTTAGTAAACCTTGTAGACATTCGCTACGATTCATGTTTGGAAGGGCATATATTGTATATGTTAATCACTCGTTAAATAAGTGCATGATTTCCGCATTGCAGTCAAAACAGGCTTGATTCATGATGGTGACGCACCGAATAAATTCTTTTCGGTTCCTTGTGTGAAAACATAAAACTATATACACTTGTCAACATAATTTTCTCCCAATAGGATATTGACATTGCAACATGTTAAGTTTTAACCTGGTGTTTATTTTACAACGTTTAAACACCCTGCAAATATTCATTACAATACCCCCAGTAGATGTCCTTGACCTTGCTAGTGACATGGTATATGGAAGTCATAACTCATTTATAATCTGGTACTTTTCTCTCGATGTGTATTTTCAACACTAGGACACTGCAGAACATCACGTCCCTCCACCTCAAGCCTAATGACAGAACTGGTAATGATATAAATAAACACATGTATAAACGTGTCTTGGCTTTTGCTTGTTTGTTGTTTGAGTCCGCCTCAGCAGTATTTCAGCTATATGACGGCGGTCTGTAAATTTCATCAATGTAGATGATACTTACATCTACGTAGATGGTACATCTTTTTTTTGTTCGTTTATTTGTTGTTTAACGCCGATCTCGGCAATATTCCAGCTATATGACGGCGGTTTACTTTCATCTATGTAGATGACACATTAATCTACGTGGAAGATACTGTCGTCTCTGAATGTTCATCTATTTAGGTGACACATTAATCTACGTAGACGATATTGTCGTCTCTGAATGTTCATCTATGTAGACGATACATTAATCTACGTAGACGATATTGTCGTCTCTGTATGTGATATTATAATCGTACGTAGCGTTACTCAGACAGTGATATTGTCTTTTGGAGTTGCGAACCCATTTGGATACTAGTTTATACAAACATTTATATTTTTTAAAAGTGATAACTGTTAATTTAATTAAATGTTTGGGAGCATGTTGGTTGTTTTTTTCATTTTGCCTTTCCGTATATTTACAACATACTGAAATCTTTTCAAATTGTCAAACTGTCAACGCTAAAATAAAAACATAAACTGCAGAATTGAACCTTCAGAGCTTTAAAGGGTGATGCAAGTATTGGTTTGATATAGTTTGATATAGTTTTATATATCATCACCCCTTCATTTTTACGTTTTACCTCTTAAACCTAATTTCCGTAATGGAGAAATCATATTATTCAAGTGATTTCTCCGGCTTTAGCCATGTTATTTTTTATATATAATTTCGCTAAAATTTTGAATAATGGCCTTTGTTTGTTTGTTTGTAGTTTGGAATACATTTTGTGCTCTCCTCTCTTTATTACGGTTGTAAGAGAGTGTAGCGTGTGTCATTTTCTTTCGAAACATTGAAATGAAGATTTACTTTATGCCATGTTTTGATAGTACCTCAATAAAGACATGTCAAGGAAGAAAGTCAAACAAATCGGTCAGTATTAATTAAGCCCGAGATTATGCTCGGAACAAGTGTCGATTACTCAAGACAATATTGTTACCTTAGTCGATAATTTGATAGCAGATGACACTTTCTTCTAGGTAGATTATCATGTTATGTACATAGATGAAAACATCATCTACCTAGATTATAGAATCATCAACGTAAATGTAAGTATCGTCTACGTAGATAACAGTATCACCTACGTTATGTAAGTATCATCTACGTAGATAATAGTATCATCTACGTAAATGTAAGTATCATCTACGTAGATAACAGTATCACCTACGTACATTTAAGTATCATCTACGTAGATAATAGTAGCATCTACGTAAATGTAAGTATCATCTACGTAGATAATAGTAGCATCTACGTAAATGTAAGTATCATCTACGTAGATAAATGTATCCCATACGTACATGTAAGTATCATCTACGTAGATAATAGTATCATCTGCGTAAATGTAAGTATCATCTACGTAGATAATAGTATCATCTACGTACATGTAAGTATCATCTACGTAGATAATAGTATCATCTACATAAATGTAAGTATCATCTACGTAGATAATAGTATCATCTTCGTACATGTAAGTATCATCTACGTAGATGGAACTAGCCTCTGTGTAGATGATACTTTTGTTTAGACTGTGGCACTTATACGCTTCCATATGTAAATATTCAAATCTGGACTAGACAATCCGGTGTTTGATATAGTGAGCAACGATTCAAGGGGCACCATGACACGCAGTCAATCAAGGGGACCTTCTCTAAATCGGAATCATGGGAGTTATGTTTGGCTATGGGATTTTTGCAATAAATGTATTTTCTTCTTGTTTATTCATCATGTGGATGTTGTTCCACGCTGCAGTCGGCAATATACCTGCATCGCGGCGGAATGTAAATAATCGCGTCTGTCCCGGACAAACTGTTCCGTAATTGAAACAGGTCGGAATTTATAAACACCATGAATAAATATCACGATAAAGTGATACAGATTATTTGATCAGGTGTGTTCAACTACAGAAATCTACAGGAACAAAGTGACGATTCTCACAAAATGTCGGGTTGGAAAAGATGTTAAAAGCATGCATGTTGTATTTCATCACATAACATTTAGACTCCATTTGTTTCATCACTGCATTTAATTGAGTTCCCTAATAAAGTCACAGAAGCAATTAAAACCTGCCGATCTGATATTATTTGATATTTATGTATGTGTCAGAAATGTCCCTCCACGGGATTAAAGAACTATGACATCGTATGTAATAAATATAATATCTGGGATTGCACTATTTTAGTAAAGTACTACTTCTAGTTCTTTTTGGGGTTGAGTCCAGTCAAGAATTAGATCCCACATTCTCAGAGTAAGGCACCTAATCGGTGGTTGAGTGGGTTAGATCACTGACTTTGTGTGCTGGCGATTAGGTGCATCACTCTTAGAGTGGCGCAACCCCCAAACGTACGAGAATTTGTACTTTACTGAGAAAATGTATTCCCAAATATAACATTTGTTACATAAGATAACATATTTTTTTTCATCCCGAGGAGGGGCATTTCTGACACATACCTACATATCAAATAATATGAAATCTGCAGGTTTTAATTCTTTCTGGGATTTAATTAGGAAACTCAATTGCGAACAGTGGTCAAATAAAGGTATTGTGCATTCATATGTAATCTTTTGCTTACAGGAAAACATGACAGTGAAAATTTTGTATACCGGATCTCAGTACATCTGTTTCCTAAATTAGCTTTGGGAACAAGTAAGTAGTGCGTTATTCCGTCAAATTAGGTAATTTTTTTCAATATTATATTCCTTTGCTTTTATTAAGTTTTCGCTCGAATGATCAGATTTTACGTACGCATTTCTTTCACCCCCCTTTATTATTGGCAAAGCAAATTTACCATTCATGCCCTACTCTTTTTCCTATGATGAAGTATTATTTTGTAACGAAATTGAAAAAGAATGATGTTATTACAACACTTATTGACTTAAATAAAAATGTCAGGAAGATTGTTTTAGTTTACGACAAGGAGTTATTTCCCTTGTTTCCTCTTCACCGTAAACATCAAATTTAGCCCCACTTCCGGTTTTAAAAATTGCACGGTGCGTATATGAATTTTTCCTAATTTCTTTGAATGTGTGTAATTGTATGGCATAAATTCTTATGTGATGAATTTTGTATGGTATCATGTATTTTTTAAATAGTTTTATTTTAATAATTTCATCTTGGTCTTGTAATATACTTGAACATGTATCAAATCTGAATGTTGCCGGGAAAATTTGTGCCTACAGATTTTTGCAGATGGTAGAAATTTGTATTCTATCTGATGACAGATTTCGCAGGAAACGGCTGATCATTATGGTGCAGGGTCGATGCCCTGGTCCGATGTTGTGAGGAGTTATGAAAACGAATTGCAAAGAAGTCTGATAGTATCTCGTAGTCAAAAGAAAAAAATATGTTTTGTAGCAAATGGACCAGTTAGTTCTGTAACGCTTGGATGTAAGCAAATGACATCATTCATTTATGATATTTTGTGCACTTATACTTTGAGTGCATCAGCTGTATATATGATATAGTAAGTCTCTTCACACTCTACACTTTGTGAAAGTAGTAATTTCTAATGGGCTAATATTTTTGTATTGTCTTTATATGTTTATGATATATCACTGTAGTCAGTGTGGAAATTTAATAAAACTCATAATAGAAAATAAAATCTATAAATTAGAAAAAGGTCTGACAAACTTCCAAAGTTCCAAAGCTCTGATGTTCATTCACTTTGGGGCCCTGACTGTGAACTAGTTGTGATGTTTGATCTTACAGGTTAATGTGTAATGATGTCAGGGCTTGATGCTCTGGGTATCCCGGGTGGTGAGGCTCTGAGAGAGGCTCTCACAAACTGTTCCGACCCCCTCGGAGCCATTGAGGAGTTTCAGAGTGAAAATGGTGTGCTCCTTCCATCCCTAAGACCGGCTCTACCATTCTTGGATCTTCATGGAGTACGACGTCTGGAGTTTCATGAATCCATCTTGGAGGAGCTTCGAGATAAACTAGTCAATGGAATATCTGATTTAGCAAACAGTAACAGGGAGGACAAGATCAAGAAGCTGGAGGAGTTGTTGGTTAAGAGTTTTCCTGTCATCAAGGTCAAGACTGTCAGACCTGTTGTGATGACCATCCTGAAACATCTGCCTCAGATCAAAGAGGAATACCTGACCCAGATCCTGGATGACAAGGAGCTATACACAGAGGCAGCCACGGAGGTCAAGCGACAGATATGGCAGGACAACCAGGCTCTGTTTGGGGATGAAGTCTCGCCTCTGTTGCAGCAGTATATTGCCGAAAAAGAAAACTCTTTGTTGAGTCACGAAAACAGTACATTATCGTTCTTTCTACCCATGCCAAAAATAAGACGTCAGTCGGAGGTTGTTCAAAAACTGGTCCATATGATTGGTAAAAATGTCAAACTTTATGATATGGTGTTACAGTTTTTACGAACCTTGTTTCTGAGGACACGAAACACACATTACTGCACATTACGGGCAGAGTTGTTGATGGCTATCCATGACCTGGAGGTGAATGAGATCTGTTCCGTGGATCCGTGCCACAAGTTCACCTGGTGTGTGGATGCGTGTATTCGAGAGAGGATTGTCAACACAAACAGGTCCCGGGAGCTGCAGGGTTTCTTGGATGGGATAAAGAAAGGGCAAGAATTTGTACTGGGGTATGTCCGTTCTGTATGGATGATTTAGGGTTCCGTCATCCAGCTTCTCTGTTCTACAGGTCATTGTTTTCATTTCAAGATATTTTTGTGTATTTGTGATATTACAAGTAGTTAGTTGTTTCGGTCAGTTATTTTCCTTCAATGTTATGAGGTTTGATGCAGACATGTTGATCGTTGTTGACCATGTTGACCATGTTGACTCAGAACATTGCAGAAAATGTTAGAAACTAGTGTAAAGTTGTAAATACTACGTCATCAATACTTCACTGGTTTGGGTACACTACACTCCTCCATTTCCATGACTACCTGTGAATACATACAGCTGCTTTATGGTGTAGTAGTGACACTGTCAGATCTGTCTAATGTAAAAATTATTAAAAAAGACCTGTGTAAATTTGTTTAGAGAATAGCTCTTTAGCAACCTATGCTTCCCATAAGAGGTGACTATTCTGGTCGTAAGAGGAGACTGATAGGATCAGGTTATAAGGCTCTCTGACTTGGTTGATGCATGTCATCGTATTCCAATTGCGTAGATTGGTGCTCATGGTGTCAATCACAGGATTGTCTGGTCCAGACTTGATTATTTACAGACCGCTGACATGTAGCTGGAATATTGCTGAGTGCGGCGTTAAACAAACAAGCAATTAAACACAAACAAACAGTTTAACCATCTTTGACAGGAAACAGACAGTTTGAATGAATTTTTAACTTGAAAGAGCAGATTAATGCATTATATATTTGTTGCTATAATTTATTACATGTACATAATGTTAGCACTATAAGCAGGTGATAAGCATGATAAGTATTGTTTTGACATTCAGTGCGAACATCATGTAGGTCTGAACTATTTCTACAACCTGATGTGATGGAATTCATCCTGTCATATGATGTTTGCAGCTTTTGTTTTGTGATTGAACAGCGACCTATCCATGATCTTATGTGATCCATACGCCCTCAACACCATCGCTCAGTCGGCCATGAAGGTTCTCCTGTACTGTGTCAGCTCGGAAACACTACCACGGGTAAGTAGGAAATAAATTGTTCATAGTTCAGTAAATGGCCCAGGTCTCTCCAGTTCTGTGTTGTACCAGCAATCTATGATTTGGGGTTTAAATCCCATATTTGCCTCGGATTTGCCAACATCTCAACTGTCTCCGACCTGCTGACACAGCTTTATGTAACTGAAATACTGTCATAAACAAAGCAAACACACTCTATGTTCAACAGTTGTAGACATGGTAGATGTAGTTATACAAGTAGCCCTGAAACGTCATACAAAGAATTCAAGAAGTTGCGTTCCATAAAAAAGTGTCCTGTATTACTATAAGTGTACATGGTGTAGATGTAGTTACAGTAACAGTTTTGGAGAATGATGAGTTCTGTTCCTAATGTTTAAATATCCACTTCAGTGCACTGGGTGTTGCTATTTATTTCCATGTACCATTTCATTTACCCAAGATCTCGCTGTTGAACATATTTCCTGTTTGCAGGAGAACCATGACCTGCAGCTGCTTGTACGGATGATTGCTCTCGGGCTCGGAGCGTGGAATATGATTGACAACCAGGTCTTCAGAGAACCAAAACAGGTGACACACTAAACTTGCTAAACTGCTCTATTCATAGACTAACATCTAGTCCCTGAAGTGAACATATCTTAAATAAAAAACAGTTGTTGAATTATTTAAAAATATATATAATAAAATGGAGCCCAGAGACTCTCTTCATTTTCATTGATACTGCAGTAATCTAGACTTGCCAAACATTATAGACTTGCATGGGCTGTATTGGATATGTTTGTTTCAGGGTCTGTATGACAGACTACTCTATTCTGTGCAGAATACTCAATATTTATCATATAATGGGTAGGCTTCTCGGCAGGATAAAGGCAACGGATAAAAACGATAACCGTTGGGGTCATATGCGGATAGAGATGCAAATATCAAAGGTCAAGTAGGACTACTTTCACTGTTTATAAACAAACATGGCGTCGCCCTCGTCATTCGGCGATCGAGTCAGAATTAACCATCGGGAATCTGGATAAACTACAGGGATAATTGCTATCATTATCAAAAGAGCAGTCTAATATGCTGAAAATCAGTGTCTAACTGTGACGTAGCAAAGGCATTTTTAAAGTTTTGGCAACTTTGGAGATATAAATTTCGAAACAATTTTGCGAGGGCATGAGGCCTAGCCAAGCGGGATCAGTAGCCATATCTGTGCTTGTAGACCTCTGCGGCTTAAAACCTTCTCCACAAATTTAAATAGTTGGATAAATAGGTTATCGCATGATAACCTCTATATATCTTCTAACCCATGTTTGTCATTATCATTGAGTATAGTGAGGGAGTATGGTTTTATGCCTGCTTTCAGCAATATTCCAGCAACACCACAGTGGAGGACTCCAGAAACTATTGCTTGTTGTAATATATAATGGGTGGTGATTCATTGAGCATGTTGAGGGTCATCGATTTTATCCAACTGCATTGGATGTTGCTCATTATTTCAACCACTGGTTTAGCCTTGTCCAGACTCGATTATTACTTTCAGACTCTATGACATGGCTGATTGCGTGTCATCGTGCTGATTATGGCATTGATCTTTACTGGTTTAGCCTGGTCCAGACTCAATTATTTACAGGCCAACATGTATAGTGTGGTTTTTAACGACATCAAACAAACAAGCAAAAGAAGTCATTAGATGTTGCCTTTTTGCAAGAAAATAAGTTATGAAAGTTAAAGTGACACATTTATTAACACGGGAGCTTTATAAGTTAGAAAGACAAGTAACCATGGTAACTGGAACCATTTACTAGCTCTGATCTGAAGATGAACGTAAAGTTGTATTGTGACAAGTAAAAATACAAAGCAATATGAGTGAATGAGTGAGTGAGTGAGTTGGGTTTAATGCCGCTTTTATCAGTATTCCAGTTATATCATGGCGTGTCAGCTTAATGTGGGAGAAAAGCCCAAAGTGATGCAGGTCTCAGACGTTTACCACTTCGGTGAAACCCACGAGCAAGGGTATGGTGCTTACAAACCTAGAAACATAATCAGGGCGAACTGGGATTCGAACCCACAATCATAGGTTTCTGGCGTGCCCAAGGGATGCAACTCTGCACAGCGAATCGCGGTGCCTTAGACGACTGGGCCACCCGTGCCCCCCCCAAAGCAATATGAATCAGAAACAGATGCATTTCATAAGTGTAGAAAATCACCAATCTGGCTATTTAGATATTCCACCCTTCGATGTATTTGTCAATAGTGGGGTGTTACGGTTTACTGTGTGTTTGTTACAGGAATCACAGCTGTTCACTAAGTTCATCCCCTGCATCGTGGGGATGGTGGTAGACGATCAGATCCGGGCCGTCTGCACCAAGCTGGAGGAGGGGTCGTCAGGGATACGGCCGCCGTCCGAGCTGTACTCCATCTGTATCAAGCTGAGTCCTATCGCCAGCCTGTTTGCCATGTACTACACCCTCCACGTGGCTCGATACAAGGACCGGGTCGCCGTCACGCAGATCCTCCCCACTCTTATACACTGCGAGAACGACCGGGCGTACGACGACATCTTCCTTCACTCACTCATCTCCCATCTCCTACACATGGTCGACGACTTCGCCAGTGACGAGTTCTGTTCGGCTGTTTTCGACGACTTCCTTCTGGTACATAAATTATGAAACTACTGCGGGCATGAAATAAATGTGGAGAACTTGGTGCCTGTTAACATTTTTATAAAGTCAAGCTTTCTTATCTGGTCATACTGATAACCATAACATTAGGGACCGTTCATTTATTACAGAGGTAGGTGGATCCAAGGTTTTGGATGTTCTAATGAACTGAAAATAATGACCCTCCCCTAACTCGTCATATGTTTGGATGACACTCCCAAATGTCCTTGTTTATTTTATTCATGTTTGTTTGTTTGTTGTTTAACGCCGCACTCAGCAATATTCCAGCTATATGACGGCGGTCTGTAAATAATCAAGTCTGGACCAGACAATCCAGTGATTGATGTCATGAGCATCGATCCACGCAATTGGGATACAATGACATGTATCAATCAAGTCAGCAAGCATGATCACCCGATCCCGTTAGTCGCCTCCTATGGCAAGCATGGTTGCTGAAGATCTATTCTACCCTAGATCTTCACGGGCCTATTTTATTCATGATCCTCCATGAAAATGCGAAAGCACTTTGTACTTTATGAAATGTCCATTTTCCATGACCCTCCCCATGTGTATTATTTTTTGTGACCCTCCCCCTGAGACTGTCATATGTTTTGGTGACCTTCCCCTCATTCAGTCTGACACACCCCTCCACCCCCTTCCCCCCTTAGGTTTTACAATGACCCCACTTGATAACTACTGGAGCTAGCTGGACCTCCCTGTCGACAACAAATGAAAGTGTTAAATTTGATTGCATCGAGAGAAGCTAAATTAAGTTATACACAAACTTGTTTACAGCGGTCGTCTCTTGTTAGATGTGCCGCATACAAAAAGACGTTTCACGTTATGTATCAGTACGTGGGTTTGGCGTATCGTGACATCCTTAGTTTAGAAGTTTCGGTTGTTTTCTGCAGGTTGGTTTGTCCAAGGAGAATGTGCTCCGTCACATGCTACGTCTGTTGTGGCACATACATCATCGACTACCGCAGACCAGACTGGAGAACCTGATGGAGACAGTGCACCCCAACAATGAGGTAATATTTATATGTGTGATACACTTATTGACTCTTAAAGTCTAAATTGTGTTGTCATGAATATGGAACATCTGACATTTTGATTTCTGTGGTTTTCCAGCTGAGTGAAGCTGTGCGGACAACCTACCAGCAGTTGAGTGAGAAGATCAACACGTACAGCCCGAGTCCGGTAGCCCAGCCCGAGAAGCTCGACTCCCCTCTCATGAGTGTACCCGCTCCTACGCCGGCAGCCCCCGATAGGATCTAAGGTGGCTTCCGTCTTTGATTGCAGCCTTTGAAATTCTATGACCTCTTGCCCGAGACTACCAAATTGTGCCAAGGACAAGTAGAACTCCAATGATGGTAGTTTTCATTGACTACTAGCCCTTGGGGATGATAGTTCTAAACCAGTTCTAATGCTTACTTACAGAAAATGCAAATATTTAACTTTCTTGTTCAAGCAGGACTAGCGACAAATTCTGAGGACTACTGTAATCAGGTTGAGACTCGTCCTCTGGACAAGTTCTGGACTTAAGCGCTGCCATATTTCTAGGGCTGTGAATTCAAGTGTCTTCCCGACTGACTGGATGCTGGGACATTGTCATGTGTGTGGTGAACGATGCTCGTATACCAGCTCTAACCACCTACTTCTACCAATTCATGTCATTGAAAATATCATTTGAATCTGATTTGTGATGATGTAAAATATCTGAATAATAATAATCATGAACTAATTTTGTTGGCTTTTTTCTTCTGTGGCTTTACATATGTTAACATCTCCATCACCGCATTAACTTCAAAGTTACTTGAAGCTACGCTCAAACAGTTCCATCATAGCTCTGTGACCTTCTTCCACACCGTCCAGATCTCTCTGTTCAGAATCACAACGTCTACTTCTTGTGACCTAGTAAACCTCGTAGTCTTTCTCTTATGGGGGGCACGGGTGGTCCAGTCGTCTAAGGCGCCGCGATTCGCTGTGCAGAGTTGCATCCCTTGGGCACACCAGAAACCTATGATTGTGGGTTCGGATCCTGGTTCGCCCCGATTATGTTTCTAGGTTTGTTAGCAACATACCCGTGCTCGTTGGTTTCACAGAAGTGGTAAACGTCTGAGACCTGCATCACTTTGGGCTTTCCTTCCACATTAAGCTGACACCGTGATATAACTGGAATACTGTTAAAAGCGACGTTAAACCCAACTCACTCACTCCCTCTCTCTTATGCAGCAGTCTATCAATGGAACAATCTTCCGCTTGAATGTCGCAACCTACTCTGCCTTCAGAACTTCACTCAAGACTCAACTCTCCCGCCAAGCCTTTGACTGAAACACTTTATTTTTTCTGTGCACTTTGAGCATGATATCCAGCATGGAAATGTGCCATACAAATGGACTCTTATATTTACCGTATTCGATGTAGTAAGCGCCCAGCTCTAATAAGCGCCCACGGCGATATTTGCTGTTATATTGGCTAGTGAACAATCCCAATTAGCACCCCTTCCGATTGATCAATGTACACAAGATTTATTTATTCGTGTATAATACACACATGGGCATTAATATTCTGGAAAAATATATCTGTCTTGTATAATACCTACAGACTTTTCTTTTGTATCATTTCAGGCTGTCAGCATAAACCATGAAATTTTCGATCTTTCAACTCTGGTTTTTTTTCACCAAATTTTTGTTCTAATAAGAGCCCCCTATTTCTAATTTTGAGAGCGCCCTGGGATCTTATTATTATAGGGCTTAAGTATTACAAGTAGTGATAAATGTATGTGACAGTCTGGAGTGCCAGTGATCTAACGCTATGTTATGTTATGTTGGAACTGCTGACTGAGATCAAAATCTATTGTCAAGTGTACCACATGGCACTCACAAAGCTGTTTTCATGTGCCACAAACTTGGTGTGTATAATTTCCCAACTAGGTAGATAGGACTTGGTTGTAAATTAGAAAGTTAATAATAATATGTCCATTTATGTTGTGCTAGTTCCACTTAGCCTGCTCACAGCGCATAAAAGGAATCATTCTGGGCAAGTGGCGCCAGGATCTCTTGTGGGAACAATGTAACAGTAATATGGTGTGCAGGACTGGCTAGTCCACTAATGCCTACAGTGACAAATGCCTACAGTCTGAAACAAACATTTATATGCTTCAGTGGTTTTACATGTGATACCCTGCTACCTCTCTGCAGAGTTGAGTGAGTGAGCGAGTGAGTTTGGTTTTACGCCGCTTTTAGCAATATTCCAGCAACATCACGGCGGGGGACACCAGAAATGGGCTTCACACATTGTACCCATGTCGGGAATCGAACCCGGGTCTTCGGCGTGACGAGCGAACGCTTTAACCACCAGGCTACCGGACCGCCCCTCTGCAGAGTTGAACTGGCCCATTTTAGTGTACTATTGCCTACAGTGACAAATGACAAACACTAGTAAATGATATTTAGTGTATGATATTTAAAACAACAACTTTTGTAGGCATTAGTAGACCTAACCATTTACATCATCACAGGTGTTTTGAAGATAAGGACATCTAAGTGTGTCCGTCGGACACCTGGAACACATTGTAGCTGTACCTCCAAAGTTTATCCTCGTCACTGGCACTGTAGTACAAGGAAGTTCCAACCCAGGCTAGTATGTAATAGTGATCCTTGGTGAGTCTGCTTGCGGACTTGACCAGTAGATGTCCGAGCTCAATATGACTTGATAAGAGTTACAAATGTCCGAGGCTTGCCCGGCATATTTTCACTGTTATAAATTAATCTTGAGATATTTGAGCTTGGAAGACCCGAGGGTGAGGTTCTATTTATCACCTAAAATCATTCTTCCAGCTTTTTCTGTTTGTAAACAGCAATAGTCAGTGTCTTAGACGTGTAAAAGGTGCAGCTAAACAGCTACAGTGGCACAGAGATTAGTGATGTCATTTGATTATGATGTCATAATTGTCTGCAAACGATATCTCCTGTGGAAGACAGATTCGGATGATGAATGCATTGACCTGAAGGTCGTTGTTCGCAGTATCAATAACTGGATTATCTGGTCCAAACTAGATTATTTACAGATTGCCATCATACACCTGTAAATTGCCGAGTGCAGCGTGAAACGATGAACAATAAACAAACACTATACGTGAGACTGTCTTGTATCAAGGTTGTAGTGACCTTCAACTGAAGCTCACATAAAATCACAAGTCTAATCTCGCTATATCCGTGTATAGTCTTAAGTGTAGTGGAAACGGGGTCAACTGATCTGAAATAAACTGTTACTAGTGCGAGATGGCTGCACTTGGTAGAGCTAGCTTCGATATCATTGCCAGCTGAGGCCTTTAGCACATTTTAGAATACAATCTGTCCATGTCCTAGAAGAGGACAGCCTCTACGGTCTAGTGGTAGAGCGTCCGCCTGGAGAGCGGAAGGACCGGGGTCCGAACCCCGGCGGTGTCAAACCAAAAGACGTTAAAATATGGTACTTGTTGTTACCCTGTCTGGCGCTCGGCATTAAGGACTGGTCGGCTCGGAGTCAGTATACTGTGTCTGAGTGGGGTATTCATGTTAAACTGCGGCATGGTATCTCAGTGAACTAGCACTATAAATCGGCATCAGTCCGGACAAGTACAAGCAGCCACACAAACACACACACGTACATGCACATCGCTATATAAGTGCAATTATCTTGGACGCGACGTTAAACCCAATTTCACCTCACCTCACCATGTCCTAGAAAATGAACTGATCTCAAACCCAGCTGTGTCAAAATCTTCACAGAAGGCCGCACCAGGTGAACCCTGAAATCACTTTCACTGCCCTGGAGTCCGTCGGCTGTCAGCTATCTTCAGTTACCTTGATTTGTAATTTTGATCATAAAAGAAAACGGAAACAACACAAATGTACTCTTGCACTCACAGCCTGCAATAATATAGAGTGGCAGGGTAGCCTTGTGGTCACAGCGTTCACTCATCACGCCGAACATTCAGGTTCGATTCCCCACACGGGTACGATGTGTGAAGCCCATTTCTGGTGTCCCCCTGCCGTGACATTGCTGGAATATTGCTAAAAGCGGCGTAGAACCATACTCACTCACTCCGCAACAATATTTGGAATATTGCTAAAAGTGGTGTAAGACAATACTCACCCCGCAGCAATATAATTGTGTGGTTTTATTTTTGCAATCAGAACTCCTCTCATCACAGAAATCAGATATCCATATGCCTCCGTCACTCCTATAGAATTTGGAAGCCTTAATGCTGATTGGCTGATTAGAAAGGTCACCTGACACAACATAGAGGTGTCCTCCGATTATGACACAAGGTAGTATGGTATTTCAGTTAAAGATCAGATTTATATATTTATTTTTATTGTGACAAACTTTTCGGAGCAAATGCAAGTCATAATTTTACTAGAATTGTTCTTTAGCAACCTACGCTTGTTGTAATAGGTGACTAATGGGATCGGTTGGTCAGGCTCGCGGACTTGGTTGATGCATGTTATCGTGTCCCAACTGCGTAAATTGATACTCATGATGTCTATCACCAGATTGTCTGGTCCAGCATAAAGCTGAAATATTGCTGAGTGCTGCATTCAACAACAAACAAACAAACAAACAAACATGCGCCATCTTCTGTTGCAGTGCAAGAGACACTTGATGAAGCTGCTGTAAAATGTACACATATTCTTGTTTCTACTTGAGATATCTACCAATGTCGACTCACCAAAATAATACAAAGAACAACATGATGATTATGAATTGTTTATTCACAATTGTAAAAAAACATACTGACATTTAAACAGCTTCATTAATCGACCATTTCGGTCTTTATGCTGTTGTGGTAATATGTTTTTTAGACATCCCTTTATGTCATCTCTTATGTTTGATGGTAAGGAGAACATTTATACTGAAACAGGTTAGTATTCCTTTAGAGTCGTCATCCTGCTCTTCACCTGCAGACACAGGTTTCCACTGACAGTTCTACTTGTAATGTAAAACCTGTCAATAAACCTTTGAGAAAGAAAAAAACGACTGAAAAGGAGATGTAATCGTTTCCATTTGAATGGAAAAATATATGAAAAGTACCTGGTTACTGAAAATGAGAGAAACGTGAATTTATGTAACATGCTGTGGGAATGATCAAGTCTTTGTTCAGCTTGCATTAAGTAAAACTCATTGCATCTACACATACTGAAACTGAGTATACCTGCAAAATATACGCTCAACTTTCCTTGTCGACTTGACATTGCCTCTGCTCCACCATTGTGTAACAAACTGACTGACCAACCACCAGAATAGAAGAGGTTGGACTAACTTGTAGTCCTGGGTGAAGGCCATGAGCACATTCGTGGTGCTTACAAACCTAGAAACATAATGGGTTGAACCATAGCAATATGGAAAAACAGCATGATAAATTGTTTATGAACAACTTTGTTTCTGCTAACATGACCTACCATATTCGACGTAATAAGCGCCCCGCTCTAATAAGCGCCCACTGCGATATTTGCTAATATATTGGCCAGTGAACAATTCTAATTAGCACCCCTTCTGATTGATCAATGTACACAAGACTTATATATTCGCGTATAATATGCACTCGTGTGTTATATGCAGATTTAATTATGGGCAATTTAATTCTGGAAAAATATATCTGTCGTACATAAACATTTCAGGCTGTCAGTATAAACCATGAAATTTATCTTTTAACTCTGTTTTTTTTCACTAAAATAATATTCTAATAAGAGCCCCCTATTTCTATTACGCTTATTACGTCGAATACGGTAATTTGTTTTCTCCTGCCTCTTGTCATATCCTGAATATCTACCATAGTTTCGTATCCCTAGACAGCCTCCATGGTCTAGCTAGTGGCTAGAGAATTTGATCCAAGCCGCGTCATACCTAAAGACGTTAAAAGATGGTACTTGTTGTTACCATGTCTGGCGCTCAAGATTAAGGGGCTAAAACAAGGACTGGTTGGCTTGGAGTCAGTATACTGTGTCTGAGTGGGGTATTCATGTTAACCTGCGGCATGGTATCTCAGTGGGTTAGCGCTATAAAACCGGCATCAGTCCGGACTAGTACAAGAAAACACTTCACTATATAAGTGCAAAATACTTAAACGTGAGGTTCCATGTTATGGGCATCATATCCATCTTAACAAAAAAATATTTATGTATATAACATGTCTCCCACATAAAAACTGAAAATATTAGTTGAAATAAAATAATTAATTTATTGTGGCCTAACTGAAGCTACCATAAAATTTGTCCAGACGACTTCTTGTAGCCAGAGACGGATCTAGGATTTTGAAAAAGGAGGGGTAGACATAATACCCAAGACACTTTGCCGAGGCCACAGTTAACATGTAAGGTCTGTGAAACAGGGGGATCTACAATCCACCTCTGATCCACCAGAGTTAAGACAATTTGCCACTTCCAGAATATCCAGGAAACAGCACCTGTACAAAACTGTGTAATATCACTAAGTAATAAATTCTTGTTCAGACTTTCATTCAAAATAGAACTATTTTCAATACACGAAACTCAAGGGATGTAATACTAAGAAGCTCAATAACAGACACACAATTTAAAACTTCATAAAGTAACCAGTCAGCTTGATGTGGAAAAAAATAGTCTTGGTCCATTGTCTGGAGGTATCATACAATTGCACGTTACTTCTGCTTTGAGACCAAAATGAAAATCGGCTATGCAGGTGGACACATTGCGATTCCAGGTTGTGTTTGTGGTTGTGAGAGGCGATCAAATGGATAGGATGGTCAGGCTCGATGACTTGTAACCCCAAAGGTGTGAATCGTTGTGAACAATATCCAAAATTCTGGTCCAGACTGGATTATTTACATGCCGCCGTCCTATAGCTGGAATATTGCTGAGTGCGGCGTTAAAACAAACAAGCATACCATGTTTGTGGCTCACTTTACAAAACTATCGATCAATCTGCCACCCACAGCAGCCCTATAACAATAATGTGAACTTGCCATTCATAGTATTCATCTTTGATGAAAGTTCCAGTAAACAAAGTAAATGAATTATACAATCATTATTGACAACTGAATCATATTGAAACCTACATGGCAACGAACAAAAAAAGTCTGTTTTTAACTGATATTAACTGACTATATGGACTGACAAAATAAACTGAATTATCAACATCATTAAATGGCTGAAACAAAACTTGGCAAACATGTAACAGACGCGGTACTTTCCTTACAACAAGCTCCATGTTATGACACCGATTAGCACCATCTCGACACAAGCTGTTGTTACACAAGCACGATGTTCACAAGCACGATGTTCACAAGCTCACAGAAGCCATTACACAGCCGTTCCCTCGTCACCAGGGGGCTCTGCTCGATCTGACAATACTGTCAACAGTTGCTCAAACTTGCTATGGCGATCTGATCGATTGACCCCACAACCTTTCTGTCCCCAAAACAACCTCAACTGCATTTCAGTCTTGAATACATCTATCATTTCATTATTTTCCTTCATCTCGCTGAGCACAGAGTTCCCGACGATGCGGTAAAGTGCGAACTGGGATGCAATGATTCTTGCCGTGTCCAAATGAGCGAGAAGTATTTCCGTACCGAACAACGCTTTGTCCATATCCTCCCATGGAAGAAGACACAGAACCGAGTCCAGATCTCGCTCAAACAAATGTACCACCGGGCTTATATGAGGAATACACACATTTTGCAAGGGGAGAGAACTGCTACCATCATTAAGGGCATTATACGCAGTCTTGAGCTTCGTGTCGAACAGGTATGCACTTCCTGTGTGATTCTGTCGGAGAACGAGCCACATGTCCCGAAGCCTTTGAATCTGAAAGAAATTACATGGACCTTAGTACAAAAAACTTAGAAACTGTGAGTAGATGTATATAGCCATAGTCAGCAATATTCCAGGTACTGCAAATCTTGAAATTAACGTGAGCGTGAAGTAAATGAGAAAAATGCAAGTGCATTAATGAACTTCTCATTTATGTCTCCAGATGACTATCCAACAATAAGACACTGCACAGACTTTTAGGCTAGGGGTCAGCAGTGGTATTAATTTGCCACAACGACACTTAACCAGCCACGTCACAATGTCACCTGACCCTAAGTTTTAGGACTGAATGGTATTACCCAAATACTGGTATACTGCAATACGGTTTTTTTTCAAATGATATGAATTGCAATATTATTTCTATGTTTCAGTATATTAGGTAATAAGCAATATTGTTATTATTTGTATTGTTTAACCTAATATCTAAATAGTAATTCATTCACAAATGATGTTTCCCCTTGACATTTATAGACAGAAGGGGGAAGTGAAAGTGGAAGTGATTTTCCGAGTGAGTGAGTGAGTGAGTGAGTGAGTGAGTGAGTGAGTGAGTGAGTGAGTGAGTGAGTGAGTGGGTAGGTGGGTAAGTGAGTGAGTGGGTTGGTGAGTGAGTGAGTGGGTTTGGGTGAGTGGGTTGGCGAGTGAGTGGGTTGGCGAGTGAGTGGGTTGGCGAGTGAGTGAGTGGATTGGTGAGTGAGTGAGTGGGTTGGTGAGTGAGTGAGTGGGTTGGTGAGTGAGTGAGTGGGCTGGTGGGTGAGTAAGTGAGTGAGTGGATGGGTGAGTGGGTGAGTAGGCTGGTGGGTGAGTGAGTGAGTGAGTGGGCTGGTGGGTGAGTGAGTGAGTGAGTGAGTGAGTGAGTGAGTGAGCATGGTTTCATGCTGTCTTCTGTACTATATCAGTCATACAAAGGTCTTTGTGATCTGACTCAACAGAACAAGCATGTTCTACACATTGCTACAAAGTAATACACATGGAAGCAGTGTCCTAATATATACAGTCTTCTCCATAAACACATGTTCTTGCACTACCGACCTAGTAAAACACTTCATAGACTTTGGTCAAACATTCTAGCTTGGCAGTAAAAAGTAGCCACCACCTATAATCTCACCTGGCGTGACAACAAGGCTTCCATGACGCTGACAAAACCAAACAAGTTCCCCATTGTGGTCTTGAGTTCACTGGCGATCTGGATCCACTGGCTGGTCATTCGAGCACGCTCTATCGTCGTCGTGCACGTCAGCGTGGACACCATCACCAGCAGCTTCATACAGTGACATCTACAACAGAGGTGACGTATACATGACTGCAGCCACGCATTTCCAAATATCAGACAATCCAGTTATTGTTATTTTTGGAACAACAATCCACGCAGTTTGGTTACAATGACAAGCAATCAGCCAAGTAACCAAGTGTGACCACCTGAACCATTTGGTCACCTCTTACAACCAGCTTAGTTTGCTGGGGATCAATTCTAGTATCTCTTATAAGAATTCCTTAACTTTGGGGACGCTGTGATACAACTGGAATACTGTTAAAAGCGGCGTGAAACCCAACTCACTCACTCACTTAACTTTTGGACATCTTCTGAGTGGTTCATGTTTTAGGCTATTTTTGGCTTTGTGACAATCTTTACCCTGTGAAACTTATCATCAGCATTAGAAAGAGAGTTTATGGATGTCAACTTCTTTATTATGAGGAACTGGCTTCCATTTGTCCATTGTCATTTCCATCCTATTACCTATCAGTGCTAATTACCCTCAGCCTCCTGTCTGCCAATTGTCCATTGCCTATCTGTTATAAGTTTAGTATTGGCTTCCATTTGTCCATTGCTAATCACCTATCAGCGCCAATTATCTGTTGGCTTCCCTTTTTAAGTTTCCACCTTTGTTATCTTATTACTTTTGTTGTCCTTACATGTACATATATATGCTCTCTGCCTCATGGCATTCATTCCTCTGATGAAGGAGTAAGCATATACTCCGAAACGTTGTGTTGCTCATAATAAAGAAGTTGACCTCCGTAAATTCTCTTCCTAATGTGTATCACTTCTAAATGACTTTCAAAGAACTTATCATCGACATGTTCATTGTAGCGTATATCTTGAAACTTTCTGAGTCTTGAAAACCTAGGTGCCATATTTATCTTGTTGCAGTTATATTTAAGTAGTACATACCTCTCAATCAAGTCCTGTCGCAGTTGCTTCCCCTGAGGCAAGGTCAGAAGTTCCAACCCGGACTGGACTCCGACACCGAAGTCATGTTCCTTCAGAATATTGAGCGATTGTAAGTCCACTTTGGTCATATGTTGAGCAACAACTTTAGGACTCCCGTCCAACACCATCGTCTTGATTGAGATCATCGAAGAAGCATCCAGTGGCTTATTGTCACTGTGCAACAAACTTGTTCTCAGGTCATAAGGGGTATAACTCATATGAGATTTGACCTTCGGTGTTGTAATTTTCCTTTGCTTGAGGTAATTGACATCATAAACACAGCTTTCTGGTCCGCGATCGTCGATCACGGGGTCTATAGGTGAGTCCGGGTCACTTGTGTCAATCACGGAAAACCTGGTGTCCGAGAAAAGTCGCACTCTCGATGATGGATCTTTTTTCATATTGGGTGTGCTTGTAAGTGTTTTTTTAAGGTTGTTGAAATTATTATCATAAATGTCTTTGTCCCCCTGGGGGTCATTGTCCAGCCTCCCCCCACTGTTCAGCTGCTTCACGCGGTTCATCACATTGTTCTGATTATCCGTCAACCAGCTCGGACTCTCCTTCACCTGGCAATAATCAGAGTAATCACGGCCATCGTCTTCGTACAGGAACTTGTTGCGCACCTCCACCAGAGGTCGCTGCTTGTACTTCACGGAAGGTATGCGGCTTGGTTTAGGGGGAGGGGGTTTGGACAGGTCACTATCTGATCCTCCCTTCTCTGTCCCATTCTGCGGACAAGGAGCCAGGCCGCCATTTGGGGTCAGCACGGGTTCACTGCCTGACCGTTGGTGATACGCAGACTGGAACTCCTTCCTCACGGACAGCTGGGGGCTGGCGGTTGGAGTGTTGATCATCGGTAGACTGTCACACCGGTCCATTGATGGTGACCGGCTTCGGTCATCTCCAATGTCATCCATAGACAACAAGGGTTGACTGCCTGTACGTTTGGGACCTTTTCGGTTCATTCCTGGACTTCCAAAAGGACTTCCTGTTGGGGTGGAAAGAGGGCTTCCTTTTGGGCTCTGTCTGGATGAGTAAATGTTAACTGCTGCGAGGCTTGTCAAAGCCCCATACTTTGAGTCATAGTAACTGAGTGGCATGGACCGAGCAATGGGTGTCTTTAGCACAGCGGATGATGCGTTGGTCACGGGCTTAGCTTTGGATTGATAGTAATGAATTAGGACCTGAATACTGTTAAAAGACTCATCTTCAAATTGATAATAGATCTTTGGTAGGGCACCGAGAAGGGAATCTCCAACTAAAGCGTTTATCATGAAGTGGAGGGGAACACTCTTCCAGCAACATGTCAACACAAAGTCTCCTGGGCGCGAGATGCAGTCTCTCACAAGGAAGTCGCCGTCCCCGGCAACCAGGGCATCAGCTCGTTGCCGGGAGATGTTACCATGGTACCAGGACTTGCTCTTCAGCTCCGAAGGATCTGCGTTGAGCTCCTTTTGGAGATCTTGCCGGAGCTTCTCTGGTGACACCTGGAGGCTGTGGTAGTCGGGATGAGAGAGGGGCGATGGAGGGCTGGTCCTGAAACAGAAGCAAACATTGTCAGATCAAACATGTCGAGAAAAGGTCGAGTGAGTGACATGGGTTTCATGTTCCTGTACGATTCTTGCTCAAAAGTTGTTTGATCAAGGTTACAGCATTCAGGGCCTCAGTAAAGCTTTCAAAATGTTTTATGTTAGACATGTGGAGGATATTTCTCAATTAGACACATCAGTGACAAAACCAATCTCATTAAAATCAGACCTTAGTTCACTACCGCTAAACAAAGATCTGAAGACATCCCATTAGGGGTCACGTCAGAACGACCTTTCATCTGGAGAAAGCTGCCTTCTGATTTGTCATTCCATTGGTCGGTCAAAGTTTGCGCAAGGTTGGTCTGACGTGACCCGTAATGGGATGTAAAGCGGCAGCGAGAACTAAGATCTGATTTTTATGAGATTGTGACAAAACATATGTCTGATGCAATTTCCTATTTTGACTTAAACAATATGTTCCCATGTTTTTCAGGTGAATAATTGACTTGCCTTTTCATGTGTTTGTGATGGGTGCCACAGGAGGGGCAGGATAATTTCAGTTTTCCTGAACACCACGTTGCATCACTATTTGATAGTGATTCATAAACACATGTTTTATATAATATAGTTGGGAAAATACAACAGACACTGATTTAAGTAGAGATTTTTTATGATAATGGAAAAAAATAATTCACTTTTTTGGAAAAGTAATTCAGTTACATCCTGGCAACTCAGGTGAGTGCTGGAGGAAAGCCCAAGTGGCGTAGGTCTCAGACATTTTTCCACCTTCATGAAGCCACAGGTGTGTATATGGTGCTGACAAGCCAAGGATCAATATCAGTATGAAGCTGGGATATCATCCCGCCATTTAGCGGATCCTGGCACAATTAAGGGAAGTAACACAACACAGCGAATTGCTGAGCCTGAGACATGTGGTCAGCCTGTCCTCCAATACAGCAACATCTGAAGACATCATCATTTCCATGACAATGCAAGGATGCAGCTTTGCCCCTGTCCGTTTATCTGATGTTGAAAGGTATCCTCATTGGATGCAGGAGGTGGTGTGACAAGTGGGCTCACCTTCCTGGGTCGACCCGTGAAGATCCGGGGTAGAATAGGTAACCCATGCTTGCCGTAAAAGGCGACTATGCTTGTCGTAAAAGGCGACTAACAGGATCTGGTGGTCAGGCTCGCTGACTTGGTTGATACATAGCAGTGATCCCAATTGCGTGGATCTATGCTTATGATATCAATCACTGGATTGTCTGGTCCAGACTCGATTATTTACAGACCGCCGTCATATAGCTGGAATATTGCTGAGTGCGGCGTTAAACAACAAACCAACCAACCAACCTTCCTGGGTCACACGGTGAACGCTGTCAGTCTCCACCACCCACACTTGATTCTTAGTCAAGCGTTGGCAAAACCTCACAAACATCATTCTATGCTAGAACACTGATTACAACAAAAATAAACTCTGTTGCAGATTTCTGTCTGATCTTGAACAAATATATATACATTTTGTTAGGCGCAAATCCTTTTTATTCCAGATTACATGACAGCTAGCATGCTTATTCAAGATGTCATAAAAAGAACACATGACAACCTTCAAAGAATCCAACAGCTGATTGGTTGGTTGGTTGGTTGGTTGGTTGGTTGGTTGATTGATTGATTGATTGATTGATCAAATTTCACAGGGGAAGATACCAAGGAATGGTTTTAGACATTCAACTGATGTAATCAATCCAACCAGGTCCGCCCGGCAAACACTTCAACCACAGAGCTACCCGTGACCCAAAGTCTCCCATCACAACCATAAAACACAGAGCAATTTACTCTGACAGGAGCATTAGTCACAAGAGTAATTCCAAGTTAATAACCCTGGCTAACTACACCAAGCAATGATCTCCAGCTGCACAACTTTACCAGGACAGTCATCGTACCATCACAATCTCCAGCACTATCACCATCTTTGATGTGTTAATTACACCACGGAAAACACTTCATCTGCCTGGATGTACGACAGGCCGGCACTCCGGAGTGCCACTCAACGTCCTCTATGTTCCGGCACTCCTACAGGGCTTCCTGTGTAGGAGGGAATACCAGAAACAGCCAGAAGCTCTTCCAACTCTTTTATCCATTGCCAGATCAACAAAGTTGGACTAATTGTAAACACTCAACCTACATCATAAACTGTTTCTCGCTTCAAATGTAAACAGATGAGAAGAAACTCCCAAATCCGCCAACTTATTTAGCCGTTTTTCTTTAACCTTGACAGACTTTTTAAAGAAATCCAACTGCATCAGTTGAACTGTCTCTCAACACGATGAGATCTATGTGCCTCCAAAATCTAGCAGTTTCCTGACTATGTAGAGTTCCGTTACTGCCCTATCTCCGTACAAGCAAACAGACATGTCGCTGATGTTCCGTGTGTTGCAACGAACAGGTGAGTTCTGTGTATGTAACAGATACATAAATTTCTCAGGTGACTAGGGACATGATGTCATCGTTCTTATCTCAAGATAGAAGCAGTGAGATAATTCTGAGATGTGAGACGAGGGTTGCAATGTTAAGTTGTCCAATTGTACTTGATGCTCAGAGTTGCAGTGGCACGACACAAGGGACCGTGTCAAAAGTAATGAAGCTGATTACACTGAATCATGCACACAGGTCTGCATGGAGATTGTACAAAGATCAAGACGAGATGGAATACTTGAATGGGTCCATTATTAAGTGTTTGTTTGTTTGTTTTGTTGTTTAATGCATCACTCAGAACTTTTCCAGGTTTATGAAAGAGAACAGTAAATAATCAAGTATGGACCAGACAATCCAGTCATTGTTAGTTGTTTAACGCCACACTCAGCAATATTCCAGCTATATGATGGCAGTCTGTAAATAATCACTCACTCACTCACTCAATTAACCCAATCACTCACTTACTCATCTGCAGGCTGACTTTCAATCGTTCAAACATCAACATTGTTGAAATCAAAACTTTGTCTTGGACAGAGTATGATAAACAAAATGTAGATAAAAAAAATCACAAACATTTGGTAAAACATTCACCATAGATGGCAGACCTGCTCATATTTTGATTTCCATATGAAGTTCTAAACATCTGGACCAGTGAAGATCCGGGGTAGAAGAGGTCTTCAGCAACCCATGCTTGCCGTAAAACGCGACTATGCTTGTCGTAAAAGGCGACTAACAGGATTGGGTGGTCAGGCTCGCTGACTTGGTTGATGCATGTCATCGATCCCAAATTGCGAGGATCGATGCTCATGATGTCAATCACTGGATTGTCTAGCCCTAACTTGATTATTTACAGACCGCGGTCATATAGCTGGAATATTGCTGAGTGCAACCAACCAACAAACCAACCAGCCAACCAACCAACCAACTAACCAATCTAAGTATCTGCTTTTCTGACTCATTTTAGCCACATTTGTGTACGTGACATGTCAGAAGTTCAATACTAGCAAGTGTACAAAAGGTAAATGCAAGCTGTCAGCCTTTTGACTATGTCTCATAATTGTCACACCAATATTTCAAAATTTTCTGTTACTTGAAAATCTGACATATCCACTAAATTCCCGCGTGCCTGAAAAAGGCCCTCCCTCGTGCTTTGAGATGCCCCCTAAGTAAGTCTGCTGATGCTGAAGTATAAAGTATAAAGTATAAAGTGTATTTTAGATTGATGATTCATACATGATAAGATAGAAATCCAGAACCTGTGAGATATGGGAGGAGAGTGGTTGGTGGGGGGAGGGGAGAGTGGTTGGAGGGGGGGCAGTGGAGAGGAGGAGGAGGAGGAAGGGTTGACATTCCTCGAAACCGGAAGTTTTGTTTCCATGCCAAAATTTGAGTATGCAATTTCTGTTTAGAATCTACAAGCAAGCATGTCACTTCCATTAAAACCAGCAGCTAGTCTTAGACTCACACGCCTGTTTCTAATGAAATTCTGTTAGTGATTGATCCAGCTTACATCGAGATTGCTTTTTCAGACGCCTAATTTGTGGGGCTTGGTAGACAGTTAAACATAAATTTTGTGGTCCAACCACAAAGATAACTTTGTACCATGAAACTGAAACATATATTTTATCCTAGATTTATGATGATGATGGTCATAACACTCCTCTACTATAAGGTAGACACATAACACTCCTCTACTGTAAGGTAGACACATAACACTCCTCTACTGTAAGGTAGACACATAACACTCCTCTACTGTAAGGTAGACACATAACACTCCTCTACTATAAGGTAGACACATAACACTCCTCTACTGTAAGGTAGACACATAACACTCCTCTACTATAAGGTAGACACATAACACTCCTCTACTATAAGGTAGACACATAACACTCCTCTACTGTAAGATAGACACATAACACTACTCTACTATAAGGTAGACACATAACACTCCTCTACTGTAAGGTAGACACATAACACTCCTCTACTGTAAGGTAGACACATAACACTCCTCTACTATAAGGTAGACACATAACACTCCTCTACTATAAGGTAGACACATAACACTCCTCTACTATAAGGTAGACACATAACACTACTCTACTATAAGGTAGACACATAACACTCCTCTACTGTAAGGTAGACACATAACACTCCTCTACTGTAAGGTAGACACATAACACTCCTCTACTATAAGGTAGACACATAACACTCCTCTACTATAAGGTAGACACATAACACTCCTCTACTATAAGGTAGACACATAACACTCCTCTACTGTAAGGTAGACACATAACACTCCTCTACTATAAGGTAGACACATAACACTCCTCTACTGTAAGGTAGACACATAACACTCCTCTACTATAAGGTAGACACATAACACTCCTCTACTGTAAGGTAGACACATAACACTCCTCTACTGTAAGGTAGACACATAACACTCCTCTACTGTAAGGTAGACACATAACACTCCTCTACTATAAGGTAGACACATAACACTCCTCTACTGTAAGGTAGACACATAACACTCCT